GAAAAAAAGAAAGAAAAACCCACGGGCTGTCCAAATAGGCATTGCTTGGGCAAATTTTAACCAGCCGTTTATCAGTGATGAGACTTTGAGCAAGAAAGCTACTTTGCTTCTCTAATCTCAGTTTCCTCATTTGTAAAATGGGGTGTTCTGCATGTCTAAAATGAGGATTATATAAAGCTTCCTTGGCAAAGTTATTTTATTTTTTTAATATATTCTATTTATTTTTTTTACAGAAAGAAAGGGAGAGGGATAGAAAGTTACAAACATCGATGAGAGAGAAACATCAACCAGCTGCCTCCCCTACCGGGGATGTGCCCGCAATCAATGTACATGCCCTGAATCGAACCTGGGATCTTTCAGCCAGAAGACTGACGCTCTATCCACTGAGTCAAACTGGTTTCGGCCAGCAAAGTTATTTTAAAGAGTAAATGAGCCGAAACCGGTTTGGCTCAGTGAATAGAGTGTCAGCCTGCTGACTGAAAGGTCCCAGGTTCAATTCTGGTCAAGGGCATGTAGCTTGGTTGTGGGCACATCCCCAGTTTGGGGCATGCAAGAGGCAGCTGATTGATGTTTCTCTCTCATATATGTTTCTAACTCTCTATCTCTCTCCCGTCCTCTCTGTAAAATATATATATTTTTTAAAAGAGTAAATGAGATTATGTATTTAAAGGGTTGTGATTATTTTTACATCAAGTTTACATGCTAGATCCCTTAGTTTAGCTCTTTTGCAATTAAAATTTCTATACAAACTAGTAAAAGAGGAAAGCTAAGAGCAGAGGATTGTCCTGAGAGAAAAGGCCTGGATCCCCCCACAACCATAGTTGTATTTTGAGGGCAAAGCCATTATGAAGCTCTTTAAATGAGTTAAAACTGTATTAATTTTTACATCAACAAACATTTGGCCAAGAGTAATATATACATTGGAGGGGCATGTTATATATTTGGATCTTCTACCAGGTTCCTTTCACGTTACTTGGATTTCCTTGCAACCACACTGCAGTCCCCAAGAAATCTAGAGCCTATGGTTTAGGAACCACTAGTCAAGTGCAACTGCTTCAAACTTAACTCTGCAAAAGAATCATTTAAGAGCTTGTTTAAAAATCTTAGTGGCCTACCACCAGAGATTCTGATTAAATAGATCTGGGGTAGAGGCCAGGAATGTGATAAATTCTCCATACATTTTCCGTGAATCCAGAGGAGTGTATAGAACTCAGAATTAGCACTCCAGACCTGCTCCTCATTTCTCTCTTCCAAGGATCTCATTCCAATCAATCACCTTTTCTTTGTTCCTCACAATTCTAGGCTTCTTTAATTGAAGTGATGTGCCAACATCACAAAACAATGTGTAGGAAACTCTCTGAAAGTCAAACATAGTGACTGGCTTTCTTTTAAAGAGCAACAACATATCTTTGCTTTTTAAAAGACTTAATGCTGACATTGAAAATACCTAACACCCATTTTAACTAATTTAGAGGCAAACTGTACTAACAAATGAAGGATAGAGAGATTATGCTTAAGTGGTCTGGCTTGAAAATTGGCTCCAAGATGTAAACATCACAACAGTACTTTAAGCCATTTCTGAAGAGAGAAAAAAGATCATTAGGCCAATAGCCAATATGGAAGCCAAGGTAGAAATTGTTGATAAAATTAGAAAACATAAGAAGGAACCACAAAGCCAGAAAAAAAGAGCTCATCTTTACCACCAGCTCCCCGACCCAGAATATTTTCCCTAGAGCCTCTCAGGTTCCCACATGTGGGAAGGAACTGGGGGTAGGGTGCTAAGATAGGTCCCTTTTCCCTATCCTGTGAGTGCCTCTTCACCTTCAATGCCCTTGAGTGTCTCTTCACCTTCTGGAGAATGAAAGTGCTTCATTTACAAGATCGAAAGACCACGGAACATTTTTCAAAAATCAAATAACCAATTGAAACAAGTATAGTGTTGCTTTAATATTCTCTTCTGCTATTAAGTTTCTCTCTCTGTCTCTCTCTGTGTGCCTCTCTTTTGTGTGTGTGTCTCTCTCTGTCTACCTCCCTTCCTTCCTCCCTCTCCCTCTTTCATTCTCTCCTCTTTTCCTCCCTTCTTTTCTCCCTCACCCTCCCTCTCTCTCCTTCCCCTCCCCTCTCCACTTCACCACACACAGAAACCCCTTTTCAAAGGGGCTTTTTTCCAACTCACTGAAGTAAAGTCTTTACCCCTTTGTGGGGAAGGCTCATTAACATTCCCACAGCAGCATCTCTTCAAGGATTTTACTTTTGTAACTCTGTGGAGAGGTCAAAAGGCCACAGTGGAAAGAGGTAAAAGGGAAAAAATGGTAAATGGGGGAGGGCAGAAGAAAGCAGAGGAAGGGAGAGAGCCTTCCTTTCACAATAAGGCCAGCAAAGAGGATGGAAAAAATAGGAAAAGACAAGTCAGACAATACTCAGGAAAGGGACCAATATTGAACTATCCAATCTACCTTTGGAGATTTCATAGACTCCTGAGAAAAACAGAAAGCGATATTTCTTCTCTCCTTTCTATTTCTCAAAAGGGAAGTAAATGACGGAAACAGTGGGATGGGAGAGTGACAGTTAATTCCATGGAGAAATTAGAAGCTTGCCTGGCCTCAGTGTTCCCATTTCTCCTACAATTACAGCCCAGTGATGATGCACCTGCTTGCCACAGGGGAGTTAGCTGGCTGAATACGGCAATGTCAGCAAGAGCTCCAGGGGTAGAATATGAGGGAGGCACCAGGGTCCTGACCCCAAAGGACCAGGAAAATAATGGAGATTCAGTGAACTCCAAAGCAAAGATCAGAAAGCTTCCCAAATCGCTTCACATATGGGTACCTGCTCCATTTATCGCCAGCAATCCTCCTCCCATCTGTTGTCTCTCTGTTTCCCTTTCTAGGTATTGCCAGACAAGCCTGGACCTGTGTAAGGAAAGAAGCGAAAGAAACGTCAAGTTGCACCCAACACCGTGAGTGAACTATGCTGTGCTTTTCTCTGAAGATGCAGCCATCAGAGATTTACAGCATTAAACTTCAAAGGGAAAAGTAATTCCCGCTTTGCTAACTGATGGTGTTTCAGAGGCACCTCCTCTCAGCCAGAAGAGCAAAGGGTAAATAAGGCCAAAAGAAAAAGACTAGAATATAGGGCATATCAGGATATTCTCTGCCCAGTAGTACAGTATCACTCACATTCAGGTAGGAATAGTATGGCCACAAGGTAAAACAAACAAACAAACAAACAAACAAACAAAAAACAAACAAATAAAAAAAATGAATCACTTTTAAGTGTACCAGCTGAGCAGAAGAGACCTGGCTGGTGACCAAGTGGTGTGTTTTAGAGATGGAGGATATTCTTAAAGGCCAAACTTCATATCCAAAAAGCCATTCTTCCCCACAGAATCCTTAACAATTGTTTTCAGCCTCTGTGGGAACTTTTTTTTTTTTTTTTTTTTTTAATATGGAACACTTCATGAATTTGTGTGTCTATTCCCCTCCTTCTCTGTATCCATGCACAGGGGCCATGCTAACCTTCTCTGTATCGTTCCAATTTTAGCATACGTGCTGCCAAAGTGAGCACTATGAGAACTTAATACAGAGAGCCCATAAATTCTCTGGGGAATCCGTGACACTGTTAAACAGTTCCTTTTCTGTTGAGCTCAAAGTACCTCCTCGTTGCTTCCACTCACCTACATCACCTTCTCAGAAGGAGCCACCCTTCAACCCTAGAAGCTGGACAGGAAAGTCGTCCCTAGTTGTTATTTTAAATGAGATTCCTTAAAATCAATCACTTTTTTAAAAAAATACATTCTATTGATTTTTTTAAAGAGTGTGAAAAGGGAGAGGGATAGAGAAAAACATCCATGAAGAGAGAAGAACATCATCAATCAGCTGTTGAACCCAGGCATGTGCCCTGACCGGGAATCGAACCAGTGGCCTCTTGGTTCCTGGCTGAATTACAAGAACGGGGCATCAAACCCTTTTTTTTTTCATGGCAAGAGTCTGTTGGCATAGTGTACCTTTAACAATATTGGGGGGGGGGGGTAGGGTTTGGGGTTGGGGGGCAGTGAATGATAGCCTGTCAGGTGTACCTGGCTTCCAAATCTATCTCTGCTACATCCTAGCTGTGCACTCTTGGGTAGGTTACTTAACCTCCCTGGGCCTTTTGGTTCATCTATAAATAGCATTATCTATAAATGGGAGTGTGGTAAAATATGCCATGCTAGTGTCTGAGTTGTAATATTCAAAAAAATGGCATGTGCATGAGAATATTCTATAAATTATAAAGAGCTCTACATGCATGAAGTTTTTATACCAACTGTTCATCTTTACTCTGTCTTTTTTTTTTTTTTGCCAAGTTTTTATACATTCATTTTTAACTAGAGGTAGCTGACTTCTTGGCCTCATTATAAGGATATACCAGAAAGTTCTTATTTCAAACTACAGCCCAGAAGCAATCACATCATCAAACAAGGTGGTATAGAATCATGAAAGGATCAAAAAGCACTGTGAATAACTTAGAAGAGTTAGAAAAACAAGTGGTGGGTATTTAAGAACAGACAGCATGGGGAGAGGCCCGGGCCGGCAGGGAGGAGAGGGTTAAATCCTTTCCTCTGCAGTACAAAAGAAAAGAGTGTGCGGAAAGATTAGGATTTTTGCTTTTACAATGGGAGCTGCAGAAGCGTAGGGAAGAAGCTGAAGGGGGGGAAAAGGGGGCGTCTCCCCTTTAAAGACTTGTAGAGATTGAGAGAGAAAGAGAGAGAGAGTCAGGGACAGAGAAAGAGAGAGAGTCAGGGACAGTGAGAGAGAGAGAGAGAGAGAGAGAGAGAGAGAGAGAGAGAGAGAGAGAGTGAGTTTGTCTATCTCTGGAAAGAGAGAACATCTCTGCTTCACAGTGATCTGCCTGAGGGAGAGGCATCAGTTGGCTTCAGACCCAAGGGAGAGACCAGACCAAGTCACCCTGGTTAAGACTGAGTGAGCGTCACCCCTCCCTCTCCCACCACTCTCTACCCGGGAATGTCTAGGCGAAAGCAGCGGAAACCCCAACAGTTAATCTCGGACTGCGAAGGTCCCAGCGCGTCTGACAACGGTGGGTGCCTGGGGAGGGAGGAGGGGGGAGATCTGAGTGCAAGCCTGTGTGGGTCAGGCCAGGGCAAGGGGAGGGCCCCCGGGCCATGGGCAAAACCAGGGGGAGGACATAGTCACAGAGAGAGAGAGGGCTAGAGGGAGGTGGGGGGACTGAGGGAGTTGAGGTGCAAGGAGGAAGGGGATGACCTGTGGTGAGGAGAAGCCCCACTTGGCTTTTCTCAGGAATGATTCTGTTTGCATTTTCCTTGTTGTTTTTAATCTGGAAGAAATGGAGTTTTCAAACTGGCTCTGTCTCCCCACCCAAGAGTTTTCTCCCCAGGTCCCTCTTTGCTCACTGGTCTTTGTGCGGTTGCTAAGTAACATCCTCAGACCTGAAGACTGTCTCTTAGGGGTGGGATTTTCCCCCTTTCCCTTCTGGAGAGTTGGGTTGCAAGAGAATGAATTGGATAAATGTGGAGATTCCCCTGAGGGAGAAGAGAAAAAAAAGTTTCTCATTGTTGGGCTGAGCGGAGAGCGGATCAGAGCTCCCGGAGGGAGACAGCTAATGTCGGTCAGATGGAGCCTGGTTTGGGATGTGTATCCGTGTCACCTGGGATAGAGGCTGGAGGGGAGGTCTGGATGAGGTGCTTAGGTTTGGGCTTCAAGATAGGCCAAGCTAAGAAAAAAAAAAAAAAAAAAAAAGTATGAGTTAATATACCTGTTAATACGTGCATTATCATTTTGTAAGGATATTATCACCTGTTTTTTAAGTAATAGAGTTTCTTTATAGGGGTTGGGGTAGATTTCATATATCCTTATAGCATACCAGGAAGAGGCAGACAGACAATAGAGCAGTAGGGTACTGAGCAGTGATATTGTCCGAAGTCTCAGAAACAGAGGCATAGTCAGGATGAAAACCCAGGTTTCCTGGGGCTCAGGGCTGGTGGTGCTCACTCCACTGAATCGGGGTTTCCAAACTTGCCTGATGGGTAGATCTAGGCTAGAGTCTGGGAATCCATATCTTTGCAAATGTCCAGGTAATTCTTAGGATCAAGCAAGTGTCGGACATACTGGTCAGTGGTATGGCCATATGTGTTCTCACTGTGACCGTCTGGAAGTCATGACTCAGGGATAAACGATTTGTTTAGCAAATAGTTAATTCACCTAACAATATAGTGCAGGATTAGGCACAAGGTTTCTGAAGCCAGGCTTTTAGGATTCACATCCTGGCTCCACTACTTGGTTAGCTGAGCAGTTTTAGCTGTTTACCTCCCTATGCCTCAGTTTTCTCATCAGTAAAATAGGGATGAATGTACTAGCTATCTCATTAGGTTATTGGGAGAATCGACATGAGTTAATATACGTAGGTACAACACTTGGGGAAAATTACTAACATAAATAAGTACTTAATGCATGTGAGTATTGTTATTATCATTATATGTTAGGACAGTGGCAATTCCCAAAGTGCTGAAATGTGACCAAAACTCAGGAATCTCTTGGCAAATGTCAAACACTTCTTTATGAGAGGTTGCCATGAGAAGCTCTAGGAGAATGCACTTGAAGTGACCAAAACTAACCCATGGATTTGGTTTTCCACCTGTTGTAAAAACATGACTGGAGGTCAGTCACATCAGTGCTCCATGTGCTATGGCTCAGCCTTAACAGACATACTGTGTTTCGGGTAGAACACCTCCTCCTCAGAGTCACTGCTTTGCTGCATCCCACTGTGCCCATATTTAGAGGCTCGTGGTGGTGACATCTGTTCCCTCTGGGGACACATTAGCCCTTCTTAATGCCTCTGCAGGCCGGATGTTTCCTCCTGCTGCTCTACGGGAAACTTCCCTCAGACCCTCAGAATTGCCTCACAGTCTCGCTCCCCTGCTGGCTTGATTTTGGAACGGTGCTTAATCTCCCCCGGCCCAGGAGGCATCCTTTCTCTTTTCCCAAGTCTGCTCACCCATTCTCATTCCACAGCTGAGCAAAAAAATCTGTGAGGGACCCAAAGGAATCTTCAGCAGCTGCCCCGAGTGGCTTCTCAAACTCCTTGAGCTTTAGATCCCACTTGGGGGTGTGAATCCTTGGGGGCATAAAGATGCTGCTCCAAAGCCATCCCCATGGAAATCGGGTAGGCTTGCACCCAATATCTGCATCAAATTTCATTTGAAATACTGCCTTGAGCCACGAAAGTGAGAAACATAAAGGTAAAAAGCAACAAAGTAGTAGTAACTGTAGTTACCTCCTAAGATCTGCCTTAAGAAAGTGTAAGGGTTATCTGATCAGCATTCTCCTGAAAGTGAAAGATCCTGTGTTACTTACATGACCTGGAGGGCTACTGGGTCTCATCTGTTAAGATGTGGGAGCTATGTTGGATGAAATCTAAAATTCCTTCCGTTTCTTATGAGATATGTAGGTTTCTCATTTCCTGCTTTTTCACAGATAGGGTTTCTGTTTGCTTATGTGATCTTCAGATTTTTCCTTCTACCTTTGAGACATTTTCTTGTTCTGGTAGAGAAGTATCTTTTCCCCCCTCCTTTTTAAATATATTTTTATTGATTTCAGAGAGGAAGGGAAGAAGAGAGAGATGGAAATGACAATGGTAAAAGAGAATCATTGATTGGCTGCCTCCTATATGCCCCCTACTGGGGAGCAAGCCCACAACCTGGGCGTATGCCCTTGACTGGAACCGAACCTGGAACCTTCAGTCTGCATGCCAACGCTCTATCCACTGAGCAAAACCGGCTAGGGCAGGTAGGAAATTTCTTATTTGGGGGCTCTTATGTGTGTCCCTTGCTGTACCTGTGAAATTATGGTCATTATCATGAGCATCAGCAGACATTTATTTAGTAAGCTAGGGTGTCACTGAGGTTTTCTGAAGTCTTTGTCTTCCTTTAAGCGATGTTCTCTCCATGTGACAAGCAAATGCTGAGCCTTTGCTGCACATTTTAAAAGCTTCATCTCCGCAGTGACCTAAGACATCACCAAGAAAGTCTGTAAAACCTGTTATTCAGCCATGTTTTTGTTCAGCTTCTTTGACCAGAACACCAAAATCTAACAGAATAGTTATTGCACATAAGCGATGAGAAGGAAATAGTCTATTTACTTTAAAACTCTGGAGAGAGAAAAAAAATCTCTCCCCTACAGAGTCTAGAAATCTGGATGAGAGAACATAAGGGATGTGAACAGGGAAAATGTAAACTAGTACATCTGGGAAATAAAGGAAACAACCAGAAACCCAGATATTTAGTGAGAAGAAGAAACCAGGACAACAGCAAACAGATCTAGAGGGAGAAATGGAAGCTGGCTGACATCAAGAGCAGCAAAAGGGGAAGAAAGCAAAATTAGAGTTTTAAGAGCCCTGTTCTCTTTATACCTAGAAGCAGAAAGCATGTCTCTCAGGCTGAGTCCTAAGCTTTTCAGCCCTACGTACCCTTGGGTCAAAAAGAGAGCACTTCTGAGTGGACAGAAGTAACTCAGGCATGATGTGGCAGAGAATGGAGAAGGAAGCCGAAAGCCTGGTTTTCAGTCCAGCCTGGACTTTGAAGCTATGTGACCTGGGGCAAGTCCCTTCTTCTCCCAGGCTTCACCTTTTGGCCTGTAATTAATGACACTCATCAATAATATTTGCGGAACATTTACTATTTGTCCGGCACTATGCTAAATCCTGAATGTATTTCTTGTTTATTCCTCCCAACTACACTATCATTACTTCCATTAAAAAAAAATTGTGTGTGTTAACATACTATGCTCATTAAACACTAACTCTTCCTTTCCTTCTCTCACCGCCCCCACTTTCCCCTCCTCTACCCCTGGCAACTACAATTCTCTATGAATTTACCAGTTCCAAGTACTTCATATAATGGAAGCATATAATATTTGTCCTTTTGTGTCTGGTTTAATTCATTTAACATGTTTTTCAAGGCTCAACCATTTTGTAGCATGTGTCAGAATTTAATTCCTTTTTATGGCTGTACCTCCATTTTAAAGGAGAGAATCCCAAGCCTGAGATAGATTAAGAACATTTCCAAAGGTCACAAACATTACAAAGTATTGGAACCGAGCCTTTAACTCAGGTTTGTAAGATTCTGAGCAGGCACTCCCAATGACTGAGCTCAAAGAAGGAGTCCCTGTCAGCTCCAAAGTGCTATGAATTCTGAGTCTTTTGGTGTCAGAAAAATACTTTTTTTTTTTTTTAATATTTAACCTAAGATATTCCTATTCTGGAAACAAATATATTTTTCTCACTTCACACCAGATATACAAAGCATTGTGCCTGCATAAGTATCCACTGTGTTGCACGGTTCCTGGTGCATTAGTAGGTGTGGGTGGCAAAGGAATCTCTGTGTGTATTTAGGAGAGAAGCATGAGGAAGAGAAGACGGGACATCATGCCTTAGAAATAGTCCATAGCAGCAGTTACAGAATCACTTCATAATTATGGACACTGCCAATTAGTGTCGGTTCAATGTTTATAGTAAGTAGGCAGGTGTTTTGTTTCTTTGATGGCTGGAAAATTCTCAGACTCTTTTGTAGAACAAAGCCTTTCACCTTACAATTAGAAATGCGGTTCAAGGGGCACACTGGGAAAGGCAATACAGTGGCTAAATTCAGTCAGGTTTAAATCTTCGAGTTTTCTTCACGGAAGTAGAATGCATGAGCACTAATGTCTGCTGTGGGCAGCATAGGGAGGGTGCCCGTCAGGAAGAGGTAGCAGTGAGCAGCTCATTATGCCCATGACCTCATTTTGGCCAGATTGGGCACAGACAAGATTTGTGCGGAGTAGAGTAGAAGGGCTGATGGGAAGGGCAGTACTCTGCTAGGTACTGTGGTTCTCATCCCTTGTCTGGACAGTAAAATCACCTGAGGAACTTTGCAAACATGCTGATGCCTGGATTCTGCCCTCAAGGATTCTGAATTACTTGGTGTGAGATGTGGCCTGACCATCAGGATTTTTTATAAGCTCTCCCAGTAATTCTAATAGGCAGCAAAGTTTGAGAACCACTTTTCCACTAAACCACCTTGCTGCGCACTACCCACCTGTTTTTCTCTTTGTTCTCCCCAGGCCTTCTCCCCCTAGCCTAAAGCAGCAGTTTGGTGGCCCGCCTGGTTTAGAGAGCCACCTGGTTTCCCCTTTTCCTTGTCATTTAAGGTCTTTACAAATTTAAAGAGCCATGTCCAGGTCTTAGGCCTTCATCCATCCCAGATTTTGCATGTGACCCAGAATAGCTTACCTCGCCTTATCTGCTATCTGTGGCGCCATTACCAGCTTAGTTTATTCCAGCCAGTGTTTATGACTTCATTTGTGTCTGCCTAAAAAACCATGCCCCCCTTTCCAGGCACGCAGTGAGGGCTAAGAGCTGAGAGGCAGAGGGTTCCGCTTACAGGTGGCTGTTGATCCGTCACCTTTCGCCAGGGACTGAATTTACTTTAAAGAAGAGTGCAGATCAAATTACGCATCAGAAAGCAAGTTTCATTAAAACAGCAAGAAAGGGGACAGTGTTTCCCAGGAGAAGATGAAAAGAACAGGATTTCTTTTCTTGTTAGGAAGACTTGACAAAACAGCAACTTGATATCAAATGTTCGCTGCTAATTAACAAATGCTCGGTAGAAAGCTTCCATCTGATTCCCGGCCCTTGCTGAGGCTGGAGAGCAAATGGCAGGTAGGTGCCACACAGGGCCCTTTCTTCAGTGTTAGGGAAACCACACAATGTTGATGTGCTTCAGAAAGCACTGGACAGGAGTCAACATTCTGAATGCTTCCTTCACTGATTTACTGTGTGGACTTGAAAAGTCACTTAATCCCTCCAAGCTTAAGTTTCCCTATGTGTAAAAATAACATTGCACTAACCTGTGACTTGCCAAATTGCAACAGGCCCTCCTCATTTCCTCATTGTAAGTGTCAGCCCTGGAAGCACTTAGCTCACCTGCTACAGAGTCATCACTTACAGTGTTGTGATTCTTATGATTATCTGAAGTTTTGAGACATAACTCAGTAAAATGTTTTCATTGAAAAAAAAAGACAGCAAAATTTCACCCAGTCGGTGTGGCTCAGTGGTTGATTGTCTCCCAACGAACCAGGAGGTCATGGTTTCATTCCCTGTAAGGGCACATGCTCAGGTTGTGGGCTCAATTTCTAGTAGGGGGGAGTGCAGGAGACAGCCAATAAATGATGCTCTCATCATTGATGTTTCTATCTCTCTCTCCATCTCCTCTCTGAAGTCAATAAAAATATATCTATACTAATAAAAGAGTAACATGCTAAATAGAATGGGAGACCTTCCGGACAAAATTATGGTGGTGGGGCCAAGGCAGAGGTGGTTAGGGATGATCAGGCCAGGAGGGGAGGGTAGTTGGGGGGTGATCTGAGGAAGATAGCACAGCTACAATATTACCACTTTACAAAAAGCAAAGTAGTGGCATGGTGTGGTATGACTGACCACCATGCCTCAACTTACCAGTCAGGCGAGAATAGAACTGGGATTAGAACAACATGGGTTTACAGTTGCTCAGGCAGGCAAACCACAAAATGAAGAACTTGTGGTGACTTGCTGTTAGTGAGATAAATTCTTTTAGGAAGTGGGAAATCCATTAGGATTCATTTCAAGGCAGAAAGGGAAACCCGATCTGGGAGGCATCTTATCCCTGCCTACCTCTCTGGGAACAGGAGGTTAGGAGGCCTGTTGCCCCAAGCAAGTGTTAGGTAATTTCTAGGCATTCTAACCAGGTGGGAGCTGAAAGGGGCTCTAGGCCCAGAGGCGGCCAGGCAGCCCCTGCTGCATTTTTCCCATTGTTTCAGGAAGAGCTCCCCTCCCCCAAAGGTAGAGCTAGGTGGGCCAGCGTCTCCCAAGCCCTTTGCCCTTAGCAGTGACAGTAGGTCACAACAGGAGAACAATGAAGGGGGAGTAGAGAGGGTGGCTCACTTAAGAGATGGCTCTTTAAGTAAGCGTGAACTTTGTCATGTACAAGTGGAGCCGCTGATCTGGGGAGTGACTTGCATTCAGCTGTTATTCCGGGGGTGGAGAGGGGCTTAGCGTTGGAAAAGAGGCGTCCTGAAATGCCTTTCCTGGAATTCTACCTCGCAGCGTCCCACCCTTTGAAACTTCTTTTGTGGGGGGAGGTGAGGGTAGGGTGGTAACTGAGGTGAGGAAGACAGGACCAACCTTGGGGTTTGTTTGTTGTTGTTGTTGTTGTTGTTGTTGTTGTTGTTGTGTGTGTGTGTGTTTGGGGGGGGGGGAGAGGGGGTGTTGATGGATGAATGTTTTGGGTTCCCCCTGCGCTCTGGGCTCTGGGGCTCCTCGGCGGAGATCAGACCACCTCTCCGGAGTCTACAATTTCCAGGCTCAGCGGATCTTTTATGCAAAGAAAAACAGGAGAAGCCTGTCGCTTTGCTCCAGTGAACAGGGTTGTGTTTCCCACTGTGCCCCCTTGAGCTTGCTTGGGCGGGGGAGGGGCCAGGCATCTGGAGATGGGGTGAGGCGGCAGAGGGCAAGGAAAGGTGACCCCCCGCCGTGACCCACAGCACCTGTCACTGAGCCCTCCGGAAACCCTCCTGAACTCCGGGTTCCCGCCCCCGCACGCCCCCCTCCGCCCCGGCTCGCTCCTCTCCCGGCTCCCGCCTCCCGCCCCGGCGGTTCCCCCTCACCAGCTCCCCCCTCCTGCAGCCCCGCCCCCATCTCCCCTCTCCCAGCTTTCTGGCTCCGCTCCTCCCACCTCCGCGCCGCCCGCTCCCCTCCCCCTCCTCCCGCCGCCACCGCCGCCGCCGCCGCCGGTCTCCATCTCCGCAGTCCGGCCCGCCGGTGCAGAGGCTGCCGCAGCCCCAGCGTCCCCCGCCCCCAACCCCAGCCCCAACCCCAACCCCCGTCCCCATTGTCTCCCGCTGCACCCAGCCGCCGCCCCCCCAGCCATGGCGCACGAAGCCGGGAGAGGCTCCCTTCTCAGGGGTCCCTGCGGGGAGCCGGCGGAGCTCGGAGGTGCGGTAGGGTCCGGGCTGGGCACGGGTGGGGGCGGAAGGGACACGCGGGGTGTGTGTGTGTGGAGGGGGAGGGGAGGACTTTGGGTGGATGGGATCAAATGCACGCTTATCTGCATGGACCCTCGTCCGTGTCCCACCTCTAGTCCACGGGCTCGTTGGTGGCCGGGGTCGGTGGTGGAGGCGGTGGTGGAGGGACGACCCGGAGGGCACACTAGCTTGCGTGTCCCCCACCCCCATGCTGGGGTTCTCGTGTCCAGGAGGGTCAGGACCGAGCTCTATCTAGCCTTCTGCCTGGCCTGATGATGAGCTCATCTCCCCTCCCCCAACCAGCAGTAGCTGGGCTCGTGGCTAATGAGAGCCTCCGAGTGGCCATTCCGACCGCGCCACCCACCCACGCTCGCTTTCTCCTCTTCTCCCTCCTCCTCCCAGGTGATGCTAGCGAGGAGGACCACCCCCAGGTCTGTGCCAAGTGCTGCGCGCAGTTCACCAGCCCGACCGAGTTCCTCGCCCACCAGAATGCGTGCTCTACCGAGCCCCCCGTGATGGTGATCCTCGGAGGCCAGGAGAACCCCGGCAGCGCTTCCGAGCCCCGGCCCGAGGGCCACAGCAGCCCCCAGGTCATGGAGGTGGAGCACGGCCACCCCCCGGATGCTGGGCCCTCCGTGCCCACGGACCCCACCTGGGGGGCGGAGCGGAGAGGAGAGGAGGCCGCGGGGCATTTCCTAGTCGCTGGCACAGGGACAGCCGCTGCTGGGGGAGGAGGAGGAGGAGGAGGAGGAGGAGGCCTGATCTTGGCCAGTCCCAAGCTGGGAGCCACCCCACTGCCTCCAGAGTCCACCCCTGCACCGCCGCCGCCTCCTCCGCCCCCACCGCCCCCACCGCAGCCCCCGGGCGTGGGCAGCGGCCACCTGAACATCCCCCTGATCCTGGAGGAGCTGAGAGTGCTGCAGCAGCGCCAGATCCACCAGATGCAGATGACCGAGCAGATCTGCAGACAGGTGCTCCTGCTCGGCTCCCTGGGCCAGACGGTGGGCGCGTCGGGCAGCCCCTCCGAGCTACCGGGGACGGGGACCGCCGCCGCCTCCACCAAGCCCCTGCTTCCGCTCTTCAGCCCCATCAAGCCCGTGCAGACGAGCAAGACCCTGGCGTCTTCCTCCTCCTCCACCTCGTCCTCCTCAGGGGCAGAGACGCCCAAACAGGCTTTCTTCCACCTCTACCACCCGCTGGGGTCGCAGCACCCTTTTTCTGCTGGGGGTGCTGGGCGAAGCCACAAGCCCCCGCCCGCCCCCTCCCCAGCCCTGCCGGGCAGCACCGACCCGCTGATCGCCTCGCCGCATCTGGCCTTCCCGGGCACCACCACGGGGCTCCTGGCTGCGCAGTGTCTGGGGGCAGCCCGGGGCCTGGAGGCCGCCGCCGCCGCTTCCCCGGGGCTCCTGAAGCCGAAGAACGGCAGCGGCGAGCTGGGCTTCGGGGAGGTGATGGGCCCCTTGGAGAAGCCCGGGGGACGGCACAAGTGCCGCTTCTGCGCCAAGGTCTTCGGCAGCGACAGCGCCCTGCAGATCCATCTGCGCTCGCACACGGGCGAGAGGCCCTACAAGTGTAACGTCTGCGGCAACCGCTTCACCACCCGGGGCAACCTCAAGGTGCACTTCCACCGGCACCGGGAGAAGTACCCGCACGTGCAGATGAACCCCCACCCGGTGCCGGAGCACCTGGACTACGTCATCACCAGCAGCGGCCTGCCCTACGGCATGTCCGTGCCGCCGGAGAAGGCGGAGGAGGAGGCGGCCGCGGGGCCGGGGGCCGGTGCGGGCGCGGAGCGCAAGCCCCTGGTGGCCGCCACCGCCGCGCTCAGCGCCACCGAGAGCCTCACGCTGCTCTCCACCGGCGCCGGCGCGGCCACGGCGCCCGCGCTCCCCGCCTTCAACAAGTTCGTGCTCATGAAGGCGGTGGAGCCGAAGAGCAAAGCCGATGAGAACACCCCTCCGGGGACCGAGGCCTCCGCCCTCGCAGGGGTGACCGAAAGCGGCGCGGCCACGCGCATGCAGCTGAGCAAGCTGGTGACGTCCCTCCCCAGCTGGGCCCTGCTCACCAACCACTTCAAGTCCGCGGGCAGCTTCCCCTTCCCCTACGTGCTCGAGCCCCTGGGGGCCTCGCCCTCCGAGACATCGAAGCTGCAGCAGCTGGTGGAAAAGATTGACCGGCAGGGAGCCGGAGCCGGGGCCGTGGCCTCCACTGCCTCGGGAGCCGCCACGACCTCTGCCCCCGCGGCTTCGTCCTCCGCTTCCTCCTCGGGACCCAACCAGTGCGTCATCTGCCTGCGGGTGCTGAGCTGCCCGCGGGCCCTGCGCCTGCACTACGGCCAGCACGGAGGCGAGCGGCCCTTCAAATGCAAGGTGTGCGGCAGGGCCTTTTCCACCCGCGGCAACCTGCGCGCGCATTTCGTGGGCCACAAGGCCAGCCCGGCCTCGCGGGCCCAGAATTCCTGCCCCATCTGCCAGAAGAAGTTCACCAACGCGGTGTCTCTGCAGCAGCACGTGCGGATGCACCTGGGGGGCCAGATCCCCAACGGGGGTAACCCGCTCCCTGAGGGTGGCGGAGCTGCCCAGGAGAATGGCTCTGAGCAGTCTACTCCAGTCTCCGGGGCGGGGGGCTTCCCCCAGCAGCCGTCTCAGCAGCCGTCCCCAGAAGAGGAGTTGTCCGAAGAGGAGGAGGAGGAAGAGGAAGAAGAGGAGGATGTGACTGATGAAGATTCTCTGGCAGGAAGAGGCTCAGAGAGCGGAGGTGAGAAGGCGATATCAGTGCGAGGTGATTCCGAAGAGGCGTCTGGAGGAGAGGAGGAGGTGGGGATGGTGGTGGCGGCGGCAGCCACAGCTGGGAAGGAGATGGACAGCAATGAGAAAGCAATCCAGCCTCCTTCGCTGCCGCCGCCACTGCCACCGCCGTCAGACAGCCTGGATCAAACACAGCCGAGGGAGCAGGGGGCCAGTGATGTTGCAGAAGTCGCAGAAGACGGGGGCAAACCGGAGAGAAGCTCAAGCCCAAAGGCAGCCCTCACCCTCGAAGGGGAAGGCAGTAGCACCACCACCTTGGTGGAGGAGCTGAGCGTGCAGGAAGCGATGAGGAAGGAGCCAGGAGAGAGCAGTAGCAGAAAGGCCTGCGAGGTGTGTGGCCAGACCTTCCCCGCCCAGGCAGCTCTGGAGGAGCATCAGAAGACCCACCCCAAGGAGGGGCCGCTCCTCACTTGCATTTTCTGCAGGCAGGGCTTTCTCGAGCGGGCTACGCTCAAGAAGCATATGCTGCTGGCTCACCACCAGGTACAGCCCTTCGCCCCGCATGGCCCTCAGAATATGGCTGCGCTTTCCTTGGTCCCGGGCTGTTCTCCCTCCATCACTTCCCCAGGGCTCTCCCCCTTTCCCAGAAAAGATGACCCTACAATCCCATGAGCCTGTTTTTTTTGTTCCTGCTACCCTTTGACCTAGTTTGCAGAAACAGCTCTGTAGAAGGACTTCTAAGATGTAAGAGGTCTTTATTTGTCTTTTCCTCTAATTTCTTACATAGTATGACCTGAGTGGTTTTTCTCTAGTCCCCGAGCTTGGAAATCATGCTCACAGGAGGATGACCCCCTGAGGAATTTTTCTTTTCCATTCATTGTACCCGAGGGAAATAGATTCTCTAAAGCTTTCACACTCCCAAGGGAAACCCTCCAGCTTCCCTGGGGTGACCCTTCTCGCTCCCCTCCCCTCTCTCACACTCCTTTTCCCTTGGGCAGGTGCCCCTGAGCACCCACATTGGGAATTGCAGCCCAGCCCAAAGGGACCAGCACCTTTCCCTGGAGGGCTCAGGGCCACTCCTCTCTGGTGACCAGGTCAACCTGCAGGGCTTCTTCTCCCAAGATGTTCCTGCCCAGCTGGGGAGGGTGGGCCTCCTGTCTTTCTGGAACTAGAACATGCCTTTCCTGTCCAGTGACCTGCCCACCCAAACCTGGGAGTTCCAAATCCACTTCCACTACCACTTCAGCACCACCAGTGCTCTTTGGTCCAAGAGCTGCGGCTGGGCACATGCCTCCAGCAACAGGATTCAGAGAGGCTAAGGAGAAAAGAGCCCTCCTCTTATGTCAGCCTCCTGCAATCAAGGCAGTGCCTGAACAGCTTATCGTGGAAATAGCAACCTGTGCATTCCCTCCCCCTGCTCCAAAAGGTGCTAGCAATGAAGGTGCAGCAATATCTGTATCTGTGGCTCAGCCCTGGAGGGTAGGGAGAAATCAAGGGTATATATACTCTTGCCAGTAAGCTTGATAATCACATTAAGGCAAAGGTTGTTATGCTAAGACATCTCCAGCTTCTCATATTCCTTCATCATTGCCTCTCCAAGTTAGGAAACAAGTGGATTTCTTGCCAAGATGTCTCCCCTTGGAAAACTTTGGGAAATGTGATGTTAGTTCACATCTTTAATAAGCACTGTCGGTGAGGACAGTTGAAGATGTAATAATGGAGAATTGAGGCGTATTGCTGACCTACAGGGCTCTATGGGGGGGAATCTGTGTAATTAAGAAAGGGACATGATATAAGGGAGTGGGCCTCGAATTCTTGATTGGACGGATCCCATGGATGTGCTTTTGGACTAATGGTGACTTACTGTGCAGCAGGGCACCATGGATCATGGGAGAGTTCCTAGCACTGGTGTGCTTCTAGTTTTAGATTACTCCCGCCTTTATTCCCTGGCCCCTTGTACTTTCATCCTCTTTCTCTCTCAAAGCCCATTTCCTCCCCTTTTTGCCTGTCCATGGACTGGGAGCTTATGTCTTTGCTACTATCTGGTTCTTAAGAGTCCCCAGACGTTAGGGGATGAGCCCCAGATGGTGCCCTCCCTGCCTCTCCGTCTTATAATGAGATGTAGTGTTTACTCTTAACCTAGGATCATTTGGAACAGTTCTGAGGAGGAGAAAGTGTTGGTTCTGCTAGTGACTGATTTGAATGATGGCTTCTCCTCTGAAGATGTAGGCTCCAGAGCTTCCTAACATAGAAAAATGTGAAGAGCAGACAAGGGAGATGTTAGTGTCTTTCCCTTTTCATTAAAGGTGTTTTAACCAAATATTTGTGTGTTTCTCCTTATTTCATGACTAAATAGCCAGCTGGGGTGTGATATGGCATTTCCTAACATTGAGATTCCCTTCCCACTTACATGTCCTGCCAAAAGCTGAGCATATGGTGTTAAAATATTTAATTTATTCAGCCTTGTCAGCAAACATTCTCCAATGAATGTCATTTTCCTGTGAAAATGAACTTTGTGTTCTCAGAAGTCCTGCAGGGAAGTTGCCCACTGTGTGCAATCACTGTCTAGGTTTTCTCTTTGCCTAGAACCTTCTACCACCAGGCTTTTATGTTTTATTTTGTGGAGGTGTTTGTTTCCTTTAAAGGTTGGAAGCTGTTATCAATCTTTCCTAAACTCCAGGCCTGCCTGGCTGACATCAATTCATTTGCAGAACCAAGATGAATTAATCTTTATGATCCTTGAGGTCAGATATTATAAACAAAGAAAAAATAATTCAACCCTAATAACTTCTACCAACAAGATAAAGGAGGATTTTTTAAAAAATATATTTTATTGATTTTTCAGAGAGAGGAAGAGAAAGGGATAGAGTTAGAAACATCGATAAGAGAGAAACATCAACAGCTGCCTCCTGCACATCCCCCACTGGGGATGCTCCCACAACCAAGGCACATGCCCTTGACCGGAATCAAACCCAGGACCCCTCAGTCCGCACGCTTACGCTCTATCCACTGAGCCAAACCGGTTTCAGCTAAAGGAGGATTTTTAAAATATATTTTTATTGATTTCAGAGAGACAGGGAGAGGGAGAGAATAGAAATATCAATGATGAGAGAGAATCATCCACTACCTTCTGCACACTCCTCACTGGAATCACATGCCCCACACTGGAGAGGAGCCGACCACCCAGGCATGTGCCCTGAACAGGAATGGAACTGTGACCTGGTTCATAGGTCAACGCTCAACCACTGAGCCATGCCAGCCAGGCTAAAGAAAGATTCTTACCAGAGGAAATACATTGGGGGTGGAAGCATGAAATGAAGAGCATATCTATAGGGTAATATGCGAAGTGTTCCCTTGGGAGTTCAACCAGAAGTTCGATCACTCCCTATGATGTGTGCTGACCTCTAGGGGAGTGGTACGGAACGAAGGAAGGCCCTGGCCGGCAGCCAGAAAACTCCAATCAGCCCTCATCGCCAGCCAGGCCTAAGGATCCTACCCATGCACAAATTTGATGAACTGGGCCTCTAGTATACATCTACATGCACACATTTTTTTTTTCACTTTGTTTCTTTACAACGTGGTAAGGTTCATATTTAATTCTGCAAGCTTGGTTTCATAATGAGAAGATAATGCACATTGGCCTACAGACTGAAGGGTCACGGGTTCGATTCCGTCAGGGGCACATGCTTCTATTACAGGTTCAAATCCCACCCTGGGGTGGGGGAGGCAACCAATCAATGTGTCTCGCATTGATGCTTCTGTCTCTCCCCCTTCCTTCTACTCTAAAAAATCAATAGAAAAATGTCCTTGTGTGAGGATTAACAAAAAAATTTTTTTAAAAGAAGATGCTCCAGAAATTCTTTTGTAAGACTACAATATCCCTGAATCTTAGTGCTAAAGAGTTGGAACTGGTAAAATTATTTGCCCAAAGTCACCCAGTGCTGGCTTCCTGCTATATCAAGGACTCCTGGTATAAGGCTGGAAGACAGAAGGGAGGGAGTGTGTAAACCTATTTTGGCTTGATAAAAGGCAAAGAATGATGTTTGATTCTAGTTGCCCCCACCAGAACAGTACTAATAAATAGGAACACATGGAAATCTTTTTTAAAAATATATTTTATTGATTTTTTTACAGGAGAAAGAGAGGGATAGAAAGTCAGAAACAGCTGAAACCAGTTTGGCTCAGTGGTAGAGCATCGGTCTGCAGACTGAGAGGTCCCAGGTTCGATTCCAGTCAAGGGCATGTACATTGGTTGCGGGCACATCCCATTGGGAGGTGTGCAGAAGGCAGCTGGTCGATATTTCTCTCTCATCGACGTTTCTAGCTCTCTATCTCTCTCCTTTCCTCTCTGTAAAATATCAATAAAATATGTTAAAAAAAAAAAAAAAAGAGACAAATATTACAAGGTTTAAAAAAAAAAAAAGTCAAAAACATCGATGAAAGAGAAACATCAATCAGCTGCCTCCTGCACACCCCCTACCGGGGATGTGCCCACAACCAAGGTACATGCTCTTGACCAAAATCGAACCCAGGACCTTACAGTTCGCAGGCCGACACTCTATCCACTGAGCCAAACCAGCTTCGGCCACATGGAAATCTTGTGAACTCAATTCGGGGGGAAAACAGCTCCTGTCTCTTTAATTCCTGGCAAAGCTTTATAAGTCTGTTTTTCCTTTCAGCCTGTGGAAGGAGGTGTGTCACCAATCCTATTTTCTTTACCTCCTCTACCTCTATTGGACATAGATAATGCCACTTAACTAATTAAACTAGACTTGCCCTCTCTTTAGATGCCAGTTCTCATTATGGTAACAGCTGTCAAAGAGGCTTCTGCTGATGGTACTTCCTTGGGCAAGTCAGCACGGAGCCTGACCCCCCACTGCCCTCTTTCTGGCTCCTTTTCATTCTTTTTCCTTCCTGTGTTGCTTTTTTTTCTTTCACTGACCTCTCTTACCTCACAGCTTTCATTTTTCTTTTCTCTTTTCACCTTAAATTTCTCTTTTAGAGCCTTTAGTCTCCCTTATTGCAGCCTTAAAGCTCCACTATTTCATATATATATATATATATATATATATATATATATATATATGTTGTTTTCATTGCTATTTTTATTTATTTATTTATTTAAATATATTTTATTGATTTTACACAGAGAGAAAGGGAGAGGGATAGAGAGTTAGAAACGTCGATGAGAGAGAAACATCAACCAGCTGCCTCCTGCACACCTCCCAATGGGAATGTGCCCGCAACCAAGGTACGTGCCCTTGACCAGAATCGAACCTGGGACCTTTCAGTCTGCAGGCCGATGCTCTACCGCTGAGCCAAACCCATTTCAGCTTCATTGCTATTTTTAAAGAGAAAGGATGGGAGGGAGGGAGGGAGGGGAAAGAGAGGGACAGACAGACAGACAGACAGACATAGATGTGAGAGAGAAACATCCATTGATTGCCTCCTGCACACGCCCTGACCAGTGATCCAGTCCGCAACCTAGGCATGTGCCTTTGAGGGGTTATCAGCGCTGGCACCAGACCAGGCCTTTGGGTGTGGTATCAGGGCCCCCATCCCAACACACAGTGTGACAGTCTAACTCAGTGCCTGGAATTCCTTTGTAGTAAGATATGCAGACCTCCCTCCAGACCTGGCTAGGAGATAGGTGTCATCAAAACAGCAGCATC